CTCGCCTTTCTCTTTTTATTCCCTTTCATTCCCTAGATTATAATTTCCTATAGGGCAAGAATGAAGACTGGTTGCTTTCTGCATTTCTGCACTGAGTCTTACAAAAGGTAGATACTCAGTAAAGGCTGTTATTTTGATATTCTGAAGTGTAATAACAAATGTTCTAACTTTGAATCGCCTGTTTTTCCTTTCTTTAACTACGTCCCTATATTTCCTCAGTGGCTTTTGCTCTTCTGTGTGCAACTTTTATTTACAGGACAAATGAAAGGACAATCTGGGATTATATTTCCTCCCAAATAAATACCTCCTCTCCATCCACAGCTGTTGTTGAAAATATCTAATCAGTTTAATTTATTTACTCCTACATATCTTTGTAATAATTTGAAAATATTAACGATCTTATAGGTATCTGAAATTATTTAGGTCATATATGTACTCAGTTTTAAAACCCAACTTTTAAGATCATGGAAACAAATACTTTCTAAGAACTATTTTCAATTAATTCGATGTACACGTGTCACAGCATATGTACAGGACCACTGAGTAGATCAGATGCAGAGATCTCTCCAGGGAGACAAAAAGGCAGCACATCTGCTTTTTTCATAAACCAAGAAAGAGGTGTTATTTTAAGGCCCTTAGCACAATACAATGGCTCCTTTGTACAGCACTGGGACGCATGGAAGCAGATGGATTCAGCCTTGTTAGTAGGTCATTTCAGGCCTAATAACCTGAAACTCATTCACCCCACACCGACTTAACACCTTTTTCACCAAGGACTTTAAAGGCAAAATGGTTTCCAGTGGGAGATAAGCAGCTATGTGCCCAGCAGAAAAGTAGCCTTGTTAGTGGCTATCAGCCACTACCAACTTAATTCATTTCCTAAAAGGCTGATGTAGCTCTGGGGAAGACAGACGTCGGTGGAGATGAGAACTTATTATTTTTAGCTTCGTGCCTAGTTTAAAAGAATTCCATGTTGTCATTTTTTTAAATTAAATTAATACAGAGCAAAGTCGCTTTATTAAAAAAAGATTTATTCTAATCTAATGGCTAGCTAGTATCATAATAAAACAAGGTACTAAACAATCTGATTGTAATAAGGACAGCCCTCATATGACTACAGCATCAAAGCAGATGATCGGTGTGCTGTCACATGTCACAGCCATATATCTCTCACACATGCTCACCTGCAGAATGTATATATACCACCCTTCAGAGAATATATCTGAACCTGGGAATTTTAAAAAAGCAAATCTCAAAAAAAGCAAATCTATTTATTCCATTAGGAGGCATTTTTAATTTTCCCAAATATCTCTCATAGTCTCTACCTGAAGTCTATCCTTGCCCAGGCCTCCATATTGTGATTTGTATGTGAAACTGTCACTTTACTTGAAATACTGGCATGCTAGCCATAATAGCATTTTGTAAAAATAAAAGCACATTTTTACAATTTAAAAAGAACTAGCTCAACCACAATAAATTTATATGGGGATTGGCTCCAATTTACATATTATAATAATAATTACAATTTTATAATTTACAAATTCCTACATAGCCAAATTTGGCAGAACAACCCAGTTTAGGGAAAACAATGGGCGACTGCTTCCAGTGTGTACAGACTCATGGATGAGGGTTTGTCAAACATGGTTTAAATATTGAGGGAAGAAATCAGAGAAAATGAAGGTAAGTTTCGATGCAAGGAAACCTGGGGCTCTGGGTAATAGAATTGATAAGCAGACACACTACTGTGTTCACAGGAGGCAAAGCAAGGTAAAATGATGATGTAATGACTTCATCAGAGAAGGTAAAGAGGTGGCAAGAACTTCTGCCAATTAGTGTTTTATCAAGGCCTGTGAAAGTCTGAGACATAGTGTTATGAAAATATTGCTTTTTATCTCACTCATACCCCAGATAACGAATTTTCAAGAAGACTCCTTTCATGTCTAGTCTTTTTTCCCTTCATTATCTGTACTCAGGTATCTATACAGAGAGTGGTTCATCTGCCCGTTCATTTGCCATGCACACACAGAACACCTGCTAAGGACAGACACCTGGGCTGGGAGCTATTGGGAAACACAAAGATGCGTAACGGGGTGGGCCTGACCTTTGCTGTGTTCCTGTCTAGGACATATACACCATCACACAACAAAAATACAGAAGCAAAGAAAGGTGGTAACAATTCACTGGGAGGGATGGACAACAAAACTCATCAAGACTAACTTATACTCCTTAACTTCTCAGCATCAATTTTCTCTGCTCTCCCTCAACAATTCAGAGAACAATATAAAATTGTGAATTTGCCAACTCATTGAACCATCTACCTAACCAACTTATATATGTCCAAGAGAAGAAATAGCTTGTTTTTCAAGTGTTGATGATAGGCTCAAAAATGGAAAGTTCCAAAGTCCTGACTTAGGTCCAAAATCCATTATATGATCACTGACTGAGTTCATTAACTAGTGAAAAGGAGGTATCAGACAGGTACCAGTCTACATTTAAATGATTTAAAATGCTGGAAATAAAATTATGAGTTTATATTTCTGAATTTGCTAGAGAGTAACAGAAAAAGGTCACCCTCTAATGCCTCAATGCAAAATAAGGAGAGAAAATATTCAGTGCTCTAAGAATATAGAAATGTTAATATTGGAATCTAAGGAAAAAATATCTTTTTATACGTTATGTGGTCTTGGTAAATATTTAGAAATTGAAAATTTAAGCTTACTATTTCAAATGTCTGTCAAAAATACCTCCTTCCCACTCGTACACCTACTCCTGCCTCAATTCGGGAAAGCAAGTTGAATTTCATTCTGATCTAATGACAACAGATGGCTTTCACATTAAGCAATCTGAGTTACCTGATAGCAAACAGTATCCTACTCAAACATTTGTTATCTCCTACCAACTGCAAAATCAAAAAGATGGCCAATACCCTAACTAGGCAAAGAAAAAAAAGATCTCTTAGAAAACAATTTCAAGTATCCAACTGCAAGCTATCATTTCTTAGACATGGAATTACCAAGTATCTTGCTAACTAAAATGGTTTTTATAGCTGTCAAACCCTAATATTTTATTTTTGACACGAGTTTTATATACACTCACTGTAGAAGCCTATTTCTCACTTGCTTATTCTTCATGTTTAGCCATAGAACTAATCTTGTCAATCCAGGATGAATTGATGAACCGAGAATAATAACCAAGAAGGAATATTTTCTCTGACTAGTAGACAAAAAGGAGTACTTTTGGAAGTAGGTAAGTACCTGGGACATCACAGACCCTATCAGTTCACAGTGTGGTACCTGAAAATCATCACACTCATGACAGGTACTCTTTAACGGTACAATGACTTCTTGGAAATAAACAACTGCCCGTCCCTGAAGACAGAAGCCCTCTGCTGAAAACCCATTATGAATTGGAAAGATAATTAGATATTTTTGATTCAAAAGCTTTTACTGAACATTCTGAGCAACATGGCAACAAATGCAAACACTGCATATTGCCAAAAATATCAGTACCTGCAACCTCTGGGTTTTTCCCTTTCAGTTCTTATGGTTGTCCTTTGCCACCTTCTTGGAATAGCTTTGTTCTCAGACTCTTAACAGCCCCCTACTCCAATTCCTTCTGCTCCCCATCTTTAACCTGTACGTTCGTCCTGTCTCTTTTCGGCTTGTAAATCTTCAACAGCTATTCAGTACACACAAGGAAAGTTGGAATATCCTTGGCTTCGCCTTCAAGGCTCTGTAAAATTTGACTCTGGCCTACCTTTTTCATCAGATGTTTGCTTCCCTTGATCTCAGTCTTCTTCATTTGGTACTCTAATGATGTTTCAACAAAGAAATCCAACAGCCTTCTTCGTTTCTGCTCAGAATAACCTGTCCTGCTTTCTCACTCAACCCGTATGTAATGTCTTCCCCATGTACCTCTGCTCATCCAATATTTTCCCAAAAGTTCAAGATCTAGCTCATTACCCCACAATTTTCTCTCCTATTGAATTCATACAGCATTTGACAAAGGAACCATTATTTGCCACAAAAATCTAGAGAGACCTTGAGATCATATAATCTAAGCCCTTTCATTTTCCACACAAAATCGTCTCTTTCTGCTTTTATATAGTTCCCATTTTATATTTTTTCTTATGTCCCACAGGAAATAATATAATCTCAGTAAATATTTTGACACTCTAAGAAATGTTGTTTCCTCAAAGGTATCAAAAATCAGCAGATAATCCCTTTGGTGGAAGCAGGGATTTTGATAGAGTTCCATAAAAATCACAGCAATATAAAAATACTAATTATCAGCTAATGGCAGACATGTCTGATCTTTATCATGTCAGGAAACTTCAGAGAGTGATGAGACTCTCAGATGGGATGAGTTCAGGGATGGGACACAATGTCTGTTTTGCATGTCCCTGTGTATTTCTTAAAAATCTGAGAGCATAATGGTTTATTTGCTTGTGTTGAAAGTCATTTTGTTTTTGGCTGCATCAAAATGAGACCCGCAACAAAAAGCCATCTCAAAATGCCATGCACTTCCCAGAAGCTGGCCTGGCTTTAATAATTTTATTTATTTCTGGAGCATATATCATCTGCATGTATAGTATAACTAACTCAAAGTGCTTCCAATATGTCTTTTATCCATCAACATCACAGCTGATTATTTTCTATAAATCTCTAGAGTAACATCTGCAGCTCCCAAACAAAATACATTTTGCAGCATTTAACACTGTCAAAACTGCAGATTTTATGGACAGTACTTAAGAATATATTGCTATGAGGTACTTAAATATATTAAAAATGTTACTTTTTAAAAGTATTACCACTGTAAATCATGTTAATGCAAATTTAAGTGTCATGCTAATAAATGCTACAAAGCAAGAATCTACCCTGAAACAAAAACTTAGGAGGATATACAGTATTTTCAATTGAGTTACATTTAATTGAAGTGATCTGTATATATTAGTATGACTGTATTTGACAGATATGAGAAATAAAATATAAAATTCCTACCTTGTGTCTGTTTCTTGTTCACTGCATTATCGGCTTTATGTCGTTTCTAAATTTTAAAAGCAAAAACAAAAACTGTGAAAAAGTGAATAAGAGCAATAAAATAAAATAGTACCTACAACAAAAGCAGTTTCTTTAACTTATGTTTCTCAAGGCTTTTATCGTTTCACATCTATATCAATGTTATAAGTATGCCCAGGGTGTGGTGATGAGAAGAATCAGAGGGTACTCAGGAATTTTAAAAGTGAAAAGCAATCCACAGCATCTTTACACAGTAGTCCTTTTCTGAGAGTACAGGAGTACAGGTGTGTGGTTTCTGGAAGGACCTGACATTAACATATAAGATTAAAATTTTAATGTACTAGAAGAGTTTGAGCTGAAAGGCTGACTTACCATTTGCTTAAATAACTCTCTTAAAATAGAAAATTGCCCAAGAGAATTACCTATAGCTACCATTTTAATAATGGTACTGAAATATTTTCAACTTATGAAATTCATTATCTAATTAAGCTGAGTATCTCCTCTATAACTTAATGATGTACTGATGTCTGTCAATGACTAGAAACAAATACATCTATATGTGCATAAAACCTCTTCTATCTACTGCTCCCCAAAAGCTGCCCTCCCCCCAAATCACAAGCCACTGAATCACATGATCCTATTCTCTTTCCTCTCAAAAAGCACTGAAAAAAAAAATTAAGTGGTAAACAGGTGAGTTAGTCAAAGTCTAGATGAGTGAGTTTAGAGTTACATAAGCCAAGGTTTTATAGCAGTAAGAAAAAGAAATGAAAGGTCTAAGAAAATGTGAGAATTTGATTAACCAGGGGAAACTGTCTTCTCTGTGGTTCAATGAAAGGTTTTCCATGGCTTCCATCTAAACTTACAGCGTCGAGTATAACACATCAGCCTCCATTGGTGCTAGAGAAAAGTGTAACTAATTCTGCTCAAAGATTCCATCATCTAAAACCCAATGTCAGATTAGCTGCACATACTGGACAATAAGATGAGTTAGAACCAATGTAAAATCAATGAGCTCCTAAGTTTTCCACTAAGAAGAAACATGGTTTTAGAACCACAGTGCACATATGAAAACACTTTCCAACAGAAAAGCCTGGAGTTGTGGATTAGCACTGCTCCAAGACATAGCAGCACTCAGGAGGAGTGGCACAATAGCTGGCAGTATGAACTCACTTCATCCAAACAATCAGCCACTGAACTGCACAAAATGCAAATAGAACATTCAAAATGCCTCTGTGGAAGGCTTGCTGAAAATAATTCTTGCCACATCCATATGCAGAACATACTACAATTCTTTCTCAGAACAAAATCTTCACTAATAAAAATGTAATAATGTAGACTTTTAATAGGAAAATTATTCCTTCCAAAAGTAAGCACATGTTTTGTGAGCAAATATTCTTAATTGAATTTTTAAAGTTTTTTAAATTTGTACCATGAGTAGGGCATATTTTATAATTCATAAAATTCTAAAATACTCATTTTTGTTTGCTAATAAAGATCTTGAGAAAATTAAAAATAATTCAAAATAAATTTTAGTCCAAAATAACAATTCAAGGTAAAGTTAGATATTCGAAGAGGTACAAATACACATTTATAATATATAATAGATTTCCAACAGAAGACAAATAAAAGCTAATTAATGAAACATTCCACTTCAACAGGAAATTTAATCTTAGTGAAACCTAAGAAGATCCTGAACATTATTTTCCATCTCCAGAGAATTCTTATACAGGAGCATCTCTTACCTCAATCATCCCACAACAGAATAAATTAGATTACTTATAAAGACACAATTGTGTTGAATACACATAAGGACCCACCCAGACAAGCAGATTCTAATCTTATGACTATAAAAAGAAAGCATCTTTGTATCCTAAAGAGATCATTTTTCCTTCTAAAAAGTTCAGAAAAATTAATATAGTCAGTCTCTGAGTTCAAATACCTCCACTGTCCTGTAATCAGAATTCATTTAATACCACTGAGAGCTAGTGAATTATGTAATATTTCTGATATCTGATTGATATTTTACCAATAAACTGTACTGTATAAATAGATCCATGAACTTTAGAATATGTTACTATGCAATATTAACCAATCCTTTCCTGAGAACTCTCCCTGCCCTAGGCATTTATTATCATATCATTGCCCAGGTATTCCACCTTGGCCCCTTCTTTGTCTCCTTGCTTGTAATTCAGTAATAGAACTCCTTAAGGCTTACTCTTTTGCCCTGTTTGCTTCTCACTCTATACACTCTTAGCTCATTTATACCTATAATTTCAATGATAACCAATACATAAATATAATTATCCAAGACTCTCATCTGTGCTCCAGTAAATTACATCCAGTTGCTTCCTTGACATCTCCCTCTGGCAGTCTCAGAGTTATCTCAAACTATGTCCAAAAGACAATCTATGACTTTAACCCCTGAGACTTGATCCCTGTCTCAGACACAGAACCATATACCATCCACTCATACAAACCATGAACTTGAAAGTCATCCTTGTACCTCTCCATCTCACTCCTATCCAATCCATTTCTTTATTCATAAATGTTTACTAAACACTTAATGAGTGCCCGACCCTGTTACTACAGCTGAGGATACAGCAATGAACAAGAGACAAAAACTCTTGCTCTCATGGAGTTTACATTCTAGTGGAGATAGAATATGAATAAAATAAGTAGAGTATGTAGCATGTCAGATGGTGATAAATCTTGTCAATTTTACTCCTAAGTATACATTAAATTCATTTTTCCATTTCTCTTCATCTCTACCATACCACTTAGTCTAAGATATCTACATTTTTTTCATACCAGCTACTAGAATATTCTTCTAATAAGCCTATTTAAATACTCTGTTTTCCTTCCAATTAATTTTTTATATTTTAGTCAAAAAGATATTTGGATGACAATACAGTTAACATCTGTTCAGCACTTACTAATACTCAACACTGTCCTAAGGACGTCATGTGCATCATTTAATACTCATAATAGCTGGTGTGGTTATTTGATTAATGTCTGTCTCCCTTACTAGACTGCAAGCTCCATCATGGCTACTTTTACTCATTAGGCTATCTCAGTATTTGATCTCTGAACATTGTAGACTTTAAAGAAGTATTTGCTTTATAATCAAATAATGTTTATCAGTGTTTAAATTAACAAGTTCATAGTGAAGAAGGCATGTTTTTGTTAGTGGTGAATATTAATTTAATAAACAACCTTGACCCTTACTATAAGAATTGGCATTTGACATGATATATTTTTTTAAACTAAGAGTTCTCCATCAATTTTAGAGTAATTTCAAGTAAATATATATCTCATTACTTACACATAAAAACAGGAAATCATATTATGTTAAGCTGTCCAAATCATCAAGAGTTAAAAGGCACTGGGGTGGGTAAGTCTTAGGTGTATCACCTGGAGGCAATTAGTACTATGGTTTATTCTAAAATTTTTAAAAACGTTTAACAGAATATAAAGGAAGGTTCGCTATAATATAAGCTCTGTTTCATTCACTGATACAAGAATGGTAGGCATTACTAGTCTTTATCAATACCCAGTTCTGCTCTACTTCAATGGATACTTTTACCTGTCACTAGTTCTAAAACTGGGCTGTAAGCAGACATGATGTGCACCATTTCTGGGCCCAAACATAGAAGAAATGAGATCTCCAGTCTCCCTCCTCCTTTACTCCAGTGACCACCAACACTCCACACAGCAGAGCCCTGATTCCTCTGCGTCCCTATGTGACTTTAGGAACAACGGTGCCTCCTGCCCTCCTTCCCCAACAACAATTTGCAGTGTGTTTGAAACATAACAAACTTATGCTTAAGCCACTGACATTTGGGACACAATTATTCCTGCAGCAAAAGTTTAACATATTCTAATACATATGCTAATGAACGCCTGCCACCTAAGTACTGTTTCATATATTTTTGTTGAATGAACGAACAAACATATGTATTATAACTACTGATAAAGATACTCTTTAACTATCTAAACTATTATTTTTTTCCTTTCTAGAAAGAGAATAATATTTCAAACTTTCTATCATCTTACATGTTGATATAAACTCCTCATTAAACCATTCTTACAGATAGATCATTTTTAGTCCATTTCTTAACACTCATTTTATTAGAAAACTACTTCAAATAATTCTATCATTACCCTACAATACTATTATTACATCGTTCAGAAACTGCCTGATTAGCTGCTTCTAATAGTACCCAATTATTACATTATGCCAATAAGACTTTTGTTTAAAAAAAAACAAACTTCTTGGATACCATTTTATTTACCATGTATTTTCATAGAGAGGGGTACTAGAAACCATAGCTAGAGAGCTTAGTAGTAGTTTTGCTAGGGAAAAAAGAAAAAAAAGATAGGAGAGGTAGTTTAGCACAATGATTAGGCTCTGGAGCCAAACTGCCTTATCTGAATTCTGACAGCCCCACTTAAATAGCTGTGTGACTATGAGCAAGTTATCTTACTCCTCTGTTCCTTCTCTCCCTCATCTGTAAAATGGGGATAATATCATTTATCTGTTAAAGGGTTGTTATAAGATTTAATAAGTATAAAGGACACAGAGCAAGTACATGGAATCTAGAAGCTCAATAACTTTTTATTATTATTGTTGGTGACTTGCCACAATAATACAAAGGAAGAGCACCAGACAGAATAGATATTCCAATTTCTCGAACAAGTCAGATGACCACTCTAAGACTCAGCTTCCCTACCTTTAAAATAGGGTTAATATCCAACTTTCAGTTATTGAAGGAATTAAATGAGAAAAACGTTTGCAAAAACAATAGCACAATGCCTAGTAAATAACAAATGCTCAATAAAAATTAGGTTAGAGGTTAGGGTCCAAGATGGTGGCGTAAGTGGACTCTGAACCCCACCCCTAACAAGTATACATCAAATGTACACCGATATTTAGAGCAAATCTTCCTGAGAGACAACTGTGAGTCAACCGAACAGCCTCTGCAGAGCAAGCAAGAGAGAGTGACCGCACAAAGAAGGTCGGGGAACCATGAGAGCTCTCGGGGATCTGAGGGAAAAACCCAGGATGGAGGAACGGGTGAGTGCCACTGTTTACAATTCTCTTAAACATGGACAGTAGGCGGGAGCTCCATCTAGGTTTTCTGGCCCACCTGCAGGGTGCTGAAGCATGTCCCCAGCTACCCCTCCTGGAGCTAGACCCAGTAGAAATGGGAGAGTGTATAACGTGCATACAAGGGAATTGATCCAGCAGGTGAAGAAGGGTGCTGCTTCTGCACTGGGCTGCACAGACAAGGGACTCTACCACCTAAAGAGAGTGTGGAGCCAAAAAAAGGCTGTAGTACCCGCTTGCAGGGCTGCTTTGTCCAGGAAAGTGCAGAGATAGTGGGGTGCTACTGTGTGCTCATGTGGGGCTTGCCCTCCTAGAAAGAGTGGGGAGCTGACAAAATGCTGTGGTGCCAGCGTGCAGGACTGCCTGGTCCAGAGAGAGTGCAGGAATAGTGGGGCACTGCCGCATGTACGAGCCGGGCTGCCCCAGCCCCAGGAAAGTGTGGAGTTGGAGGGGCTATGAGGTGCCCACATGCAGGGCTACCCGGTGTAGAGTGAGTGCAAAAAAATAAACAATGTACAAAAATAAATTCAAAATGAGTTAAAGACATAAACATGTGGCCAGAAACCATAAAACCCCCAGAAGAAAACATAGGAAGTTAACTATATGACATCAGTCTAAGTAATATCTTTTGGATACATTTCCTTGAGCAAGGGAAACAAAAGCAAAAATAAACACATGGGACTACATCAAACTAAAAACCTTCTGCAGAGTAAAGGAAATCTTCAACAAAATGAAAAGGGAACCCACTGAATGAGAGAATATATTTGCAAGTGATATATCTGATAACGGGTTAATATCCAAAATATATAAGAAATTCATATAACGCAATAAGAAAAAAATAATTTGATTAAAAAATAAGCAGAAGACATGAAAACATAATTCTCTAAAGAAAACATACAAATGGCCAACAGACATATGAGAAGGTTCTCAACATCACTAATTATCAGGGAACTGCAAGACAAAACCACAATGAGATACCACCTCACAGTAGTTGGAATGGCTATTATCAAAAAGTCAACAAACATCTGTTGGTGAGGATGTGGGGAAAAGGGAACGCTTGTACACTGCTGGTGGGATTGCAAACTGTTGCATCCCCTATGGAAAACAGTATGGAGATTCTTCAAAAAACTGAAAACAGATATACCATTCGACCCAGTAATTCCACTTCTGGGCATTTACCCAAAGAAAATGAAAACACTAATTTGAAAAGATATATGCACCCCTATATTTACTGCAGCATTACTTTGAATAGCCAAGATATGGAAGCAACCTCAATGCCCATTGACAGATGAATGGATAAAGAAAATGTGACACACACACACACAAATGAAATATTATACAGTAATAAAAAATAGAATCTTGCCATTTCCAACAACACAGATAGATCTAGAGAGTGTTATGATAAGTAAAATAAGTCAGGAAGAGAAAGGCAGATACCGTATGGTTTCACTTATATGTAGTATCTAACACAAAACAAAACAAAACCAGACTCATAGAAACAGAGCCCAAAGGGATGGTTCCCAGTGTGGACAGGGTGGAGGGACTAGTGAAAAGGGAAAGAAAATATAGTTAATAATATTGTGATAAGTTTGGATGGTTACAAGTGGTTACTAGAATTAGTGAGGTGATCACATTGCAAGGTATAAAAATGCTGAATCACTATATTGTATACCTGAAACAAATGTAACCAATATAAAATTATATACCAACTATATTTTTATAATTAAATTTTTAAAAAGTCAATTAAGAAAAGAAAATTAGGTTAAACAACAAAAGATAAGGCAGTATAAAAGGAAAAGAAAGACAAAATTGTAGTGAAGATCGACCCTTAGGGACTGCCAAATCCGACCATTATGTATAGAATAGTAAGTCTGTGTGGAACAATACAGGTGATAAGAGTCCCTGAAATTTTCAGCTAGTGTTCCCCATCAAGTATGGAATTTCCAATCAAAAGGACTATGTTTTACACACAAGCACACACACATCACCTCTGTACTCTTAAAAGACACGTGGATGTTTCTGAGACTAAACGATCTCAAATGGATGTTGATCTAAATGGTCAGCTGATCCACGTCTAATGCATCTAGTGATGCTATGGCTCATATGTTCTTAATAAGATCCCAATTTGATTCCCAGCAGAAGTAATATTAATGTCTGTGCAACTTTAAATTGGAACTTTCTGAAGAATGTCTCAGCCTTTCCTTGCCTTACCATCTGACTTGCCTAAGGCTTGTCAGAAGGTCCTTTCAGACAGGCAAAGTATTTAAAGGTCATAGGAAAAAAAATTGGCTTCTTTAACCAAGGTAGTTAAGATAACAGTTAAAATAGAGTAAAAACAAAGCCTAAATTTATTTGGGGTAATGTATTTTATAAAGAGGAAATTGACTTCTTTATTACTATGACAAAATAAAAATAGCAATCATGCCGTTACTTTCTTTTAATAAATATAAAAGAAAAGTAAACTTAGATACACTAAAATAAGATGAAAAAGAAATAAAGGTATTTAATTAGGTGAAAACTATGATATATAAATTTAAAAATTAAAAATACAAAAAAAAATCCTTTTACATTTATTCAGATAATTTGGAGATTATTCTGTTTAACTTGAAATCATGTTCAAACTGAAAATTGAGCGTCATTGAAAATAATATTCAAATATAGTTTTCTCTCTAAGCCAATTATTACATTCAATTAATTAATTCAATTAATTAATAAACTACATTAATAAACTATAAACATAAGAACACTGGAACATGAATTATACAATATTAATCATAGAGAAATCAGTAGGAATTAACTCCAGAGGTGGGAGCATATTCTATACACTTTTAAGTTGAATGGGCATTTTAAAAAGCCTGTGCCAAGAATAACTTAGTGAAGAAACTAATATGTAATTACATATTTTAAAAATTACAGTCACATTTATTCATGAAAAAAATTAAATACTTACAATATCTTCTATTATCTCTTTGATAGCTGCCACGGCTAAAATAAATAAGAGAGGAACCAGTGTTGTATAGCGACCTGTTGGTGACACATCAGGAATTTGCTATTTGAAGGAAAAAAAGGAAGAGAAATTCAGAGAACTAGCAAGTTTTCTTTTTAATATTTTTTCTTTTTCAATTATAGTTGGCATATAATATTATATTAGTTTCAAGTGTACAACATAGTGATTAGACATTTATATAACTTACGAAGTGGTCACCGTGATAAATCTAGTACCCACCCGACACCATATATAGTTATTACCATCTTATTGACTTTATTTCTTATGCTTTCTTTACTTTACATCGCCTTCACTATTTTTTTATTGTCTGTATTTTTTATTATTATTAAGAATTATTGGGGTTACAATGATCAACAAAACCCAGTAAGTTTCAACTGTACAATTTAACAATATGTCATATATATATTGCACTGCGTGTTCACCATTCATAGAGTTTACATTTAAAAACAACAAAGTCTTAGGGCCTTTTAAAATATGCCTCCTTGATTTTACTATCTTGGCAGACTAATACAAGGTGAGGCAATTTGCTCATATCCAATAAGTAGCTGGAAGAGCATATTAATTAGCTTCATGGTAGGTAAATAAATTACAGTATATCCATTCATGGGTAAATAAATTACAGTATATCCATATGTTCTAAATATCATTAGCAATTCCATCATTCCTAATGATATTTTAGAAACACAATGAATCACATGGGAAAATATCCACGTGTTATTATATAACTAAAACAGATTATAAAACATGTATTCTATGATCCCCCTTTTGTAAACTAAATCAATAAACAATGCTTGAAGGAGGAAAAAAAAAAGAACAGAAGGATATACACCCAAATTTTAAGAGTACTTGCCTCTGGGTGGTGGAAAAATGAGTTTTAAATTTTTTCTTTATGTTTTGTTATATTTTCTAATTCCTTTTACAGTGAATGTATACTACTTTTTAATAAAATAACTTTTCTGATTACAAAGAGAAACAAGATTTAGTCATAATTCTTATTCTCTAAGGTTCAGAAGCAACGGTTTTTCTGTTACTAAAATAAGTTAATATTGTAAGAAAAAGTCCCATATCTCCCTTTAGCACTCAAATAAAGAGTCCTTGCCACATCAAATTTACAGAATGTTTAAATTAAACCTATAAAAATGAATCAAAAGGCTTAAAGAGGTAGTGAAACTACCTCTCACACAGGAGTTGAAAATATCCACCCAAACCAGCTTATATCTCTGTGTTCAGATAAGCTTCAGAAGCCTGGTCATGGGCTTAACAAAATATCTTAATATTTGATGCTTAACTAAGGTTTTGTAACATGGCCTTACCTGAAGCAGTGCAATAAAGAGAAAAAATGAATTGGCAGCTCTTCTGAACTGAGAGTAGAGAAATCTTGGGAGGAATGTGATGATGTTGTATTTTGCAGTGCTAGAAAACAAAAACAGAAAGAGGCATAAAACTTAATTACTCCACAATTAGCTCCCACATTCATAAAATTCTATTATCATCATATAAAAAATTAGATGATGAATACCCACATTCTGTTTCAAATTGGAAGAATATTACAAATGGTCATTAACCTAAATAAAAAGAAGTGAAAGGGACTGTCTAAATAAATAGTAAGAGTTTAATTTTCTGCATAATATCTTTTGTTCTCTTTGGCCTGTCACCTGTTTAACATTACTAAGAGTAGCCCACAAAGAAGAGCAATTTTAGTTAAGATAGTGTATAACATATTAATAGGAAATAAAATCTCGCAGAAAATAAAATCTCGCAGAAAAAAAAATCAGCATTTTAAACAGGATCAGAAGCTTTAAATAGAGATGCCTTCCCTGGATTACTTCAGAGAAGTGGAGAGTTTTCCAGGTTTCTGTCTGAATTTTCTTACAGCCCCTCTATGAACTTGGATAGGACTCCATACTAAACACACCAGGTAGGTCCACAGTCACCATTTAAGTCTTGGAAACATCCAGCCTTCCCCTTCATGCCACACTCTCCAAACTGTGAAGAGTTACTCTAGAATTTGAAGTTACATATATTAACTTTAAATGGGCATGTCTCAAATCTAGAAATCTTGCCACTGGAGATATACTGGGCTAGTATGGGGGTGGCTCACTTGATTCCAGAGGCCACTTAGTGAATAGGGTTTATAAGAGAGATGCTTTTTATATTATCGTTGTAATGAAAATATAGCAGTAAGGTACTTCTTACATACCTCCATTCAACACCATACTAAAACCTGCAACAATCGTAAGTCAATATTTAAAGAGTACTTAACTATTAAAAGGGGTTCTCGGAAAAGAACGGCAAAGATCTCTTTTAAAATGTAAAAACTTGTTAACCAAAAACAATAATTTATTGTTCTAGTACAGGTTTAAAACAAAAGTATAAGCAGCTTTCGCTATTCATACACTACATATAGAATTAGTAGAGTATGGCTGCTTATTTTTTCTGCAACTTCCCGCTTCCAGGATCTTATTAACATCTCCTCATTGGCTAGAAGACGGAAAAATAGCCAATTCACACAGGATCCTGTAAGCTCTCAAATATTAACCGATTTAATTGAAAGCTCTTTGCAAGCATCGTCATTTTGGCTGAGAAATGGCCTACAGGGCTCTGCTGTGATTGCTAGTCCCACAGCATTCTTAAGCAGTTCCTACCTGACATGGTTATTGCAGAATTTTGTCAGCTGGGGCTGGTTGATGAATATAGTCCGTACTTCTTCCTGGTCAGCCAGTGAAGTCTTCTCAGAAACATCATCAGTTTTCTCATAACCTTAAAGAAAGATTGTCTTCTTACTTGATAAAAAACATTACAGTTTTTCATCCAGACCAAAAACACATTTCACAACTATTCCAGAATCTAAAATCTGTTATAAGCTACATGCATCTCCTTATTTGTGTTGTTTCTTTTATAATAAAAAGAAAAGTCCCCATTTCTAACATTTCTACTAAATTTAAAAGGCAGCATTATGTGAAGGTAATAACGTAAAATGAACCCATTTCAAAAACAGTAACATCAATTTTCAATTTTGCTCATCTTTCTCCCATACAATTACATAGGAATGTGTCCAAAGTAACAAAAAGTTTTAAACTGGTTTACATCTGTTTTAGACAAGACTAACAAGATAGAGGTAATTTAGAATATAATTTTAAAATGTAAGTATATACATTTAATGCTTTTGTTTTTGCTTTGCTTTTTTCATTTCTGAAGACAGGGACAAAAAAACATTAAGGTTTAAATAGGCAACCACCACAAACACCTAACTCACTATGATCATCTTACTCTTTCCACTAATTAGAATTTGTTACCTAACATTTTAAATTTCTTAAGATCCCTTCAAATTACCTCACAATCATTGTAACAATTCAATAGATTCAGGCCATTTCAACTGGGTAACACCATATTGCAAAGTTGACAGACAATACTTTTAAAAATACATAGAAGTTCTAGAAGAACAGAAAAAAAAAATGCTTAATTTATTGGATTCCATTAGCCCCTTAACCACTTCCTAGACTGGCACTCTATCTGAAATACCCATTTTTCTTCTTTTCTGCCCAGCCAAAGCCATTTCCTCGCATAAGGCCTACTAATATGGGGTCTCTTCTGAAGTATTCTATCATGCTAAAGTCAGTCAACTTTCTCTGTGCCTCCCGCATCTCCAGCTAAACACTTACCAGAAGGCTTTGTTACTGCCTGCTTATGAGTCAGTCTCCCCTTGCCAGAATGGGAACTCCCTGAGGATATAGATGGTGCATTACTCATCTTCCTAACACCAGTAAGAGAAGCAGCAGGTACTCAGTAAATGTATGCCAAATAAATAAATAAATACCAAAGGACAAAGGAGTGGTTATTGGCTGTTGTTTGTTTTTTTTTTTTTTTTTTTTTTGAGGGCAAGCAACTGATTCTCCACCCACTGATAAGGACACTACAGAGAACCAAGTGCTGGTAACAAACTGTACAAGAAAAGCTTGCCTGTAGGGTTTTGTTGCTATATAAAACCAGAAAATCATTTAGGCTCTCTACAAAGGTGGGGAACATGAACATGGGGGACCAGTGGGATAGGGAATAGTGAGTGCAGTGTGTGCAAGCGAATGCTAACAGGGCAATAATGCTGAAACTCAGAAAAGGGGCAAGGTAAATAAAGACAGGTAAAAAGCACACAGGCTGGATCTTGGATGGCCTCTTATGCTTGTAAAGAAGTCTGGACTGCATCCTCTGGTTAGCAGTGAGCCACTGAAGGCTTTCCAGGTAGATAGGCCAAGCGAGAGTCACATTTTAGACTCATCACTTTGGAGGTCACAAAGCTCCATGTTAAGTACTATGATAGTCATTTTAGTTTTAGACACATTAGCAGTTTCACTCATGGTCACATGGTTAATAATTATTTTTCACTACATCATGTTTTAGAAAACACAAGCTTTCCCCCTACTTTTTTAAGGAGAAAAGCTATGCCTCTTAGAATTTGTTTAATAATTTAGAGAGACCATTCACATGTCATTAAAGTTCACAAATAACTTTAATCCACCTATCTTGACTCCTAAGGGCTACTGAGAACAAAGCCAGCTTGTGTGTCATCTCCTAACAGGACGCACAGTGGGGACAAGTGAGGCCATGAATCTAGCAATAGTTCTTATGGAGTCTTCCTAGATGGTGGGGCCCATTCAGAGCCTTCTTTGTCCTTAAGTCATGCAAAAGGTCTCAGTTACTGAACGTGCTACAAAATGATAGAAATTTGTATTACCAAATAAGAATATACAAGCAACATTCTCCTGGTGACCATTTCAGCTTCCAGAAATAATTTTCTTTATTGAGAAAGCAAAGGATGATGACAAGTCAGCATCCTAATCAGGGCCCTGAAGTGAACACGTGTTTGTCTTCACCTAACAGTGTTTGATATTAAACCCTCTTACTGGTTATGTGGCAAGCTCTGGTTCTTCCACTGATTATTTATGTGACCCTGAGCAAACCACTTATTCTCTGGGAGTTATTTTCTTTTCTTATAAAATGAGGAAGGTAGATTAATAATTTGACTTTCTCTTCCAGCTTCAAAGTTCTATGAAATTAGTAGCCACTGGGCACCATGAGAAAAGACAACACCTCCTTTGTTCAGAAAAACAAGAAAATTTAAATACAACAACAAAATTTCCCTCCTGAATCAGATGTTTCATTGCAACAGCTGCCTGACATAATCTGCAGCCAGAACTCTGTCACAAAGCCAAATGGAGCTTTGTGATCACAGCTAAATTTCCACATTTGAAAAGGTAAGTAGTGACTATATAATCTGTTGCCAACAACTACTGTACCTGGCACCCAGCTATTGACGAGTGACTGGTCACTGAGTATGATGACATATAGTCTTCCTTCTCCCTCCGCCTAGATTCATGATCACATGCCTATATGCACACAGTATAATGTAACAGGGAAGAAAAAAGCTCAACAGTTATTTCATTGAAAGGCTTTTAGTCCTTTCATACAATTACAACAGAATTATTATCTCTGAAAATTTCCATTTCTCATGACAAATATCATGACCCAATCAGTAAAACCCACTGATCATTAGTTCATTCACTCATTCAACATAAGTGAACATAAGCGCCTACTCTGTGCCAGCTATTTTTTCAAAAACGCTGCAAAAACAGCAGAAAATAAGATAAGGCTCCTTCTCAGAGATTATTTTCCAGTGAGCAAAATAATTACAGATCATGGTAAGTGTGATGAAGAAAATAAAACAAGTGATTTACAGAGAACTCTGCGCTACCATTTCATTATCTATATATGGAGATAATAGTACCTACTTCAAAAGGAGAAGTGAAGACCTGGTGAATTGACAAATGTAGAGAACACACATATGATGCCTGGCACATAGTAAGAGCTCAATAAATGTTAACTGTAATCACTGTGTTGCTGTTATCACTACTGCTATTGCTACTTTATACCAATGACAAGGGAAAGCCTCTCCAAGGAGACACTGAGTTGAGACCTCCATGAGGACCTCAATAAGGAAAGATAAGGAACAGTTTAAACTCACTGGGGAAGAGCAGGAATAAATGTCTGGCAAGAATGAGCTTGGCATTTCCAGGAAAATGAGGACTAGTAATAGGAATAGGGGGAGCATCAAACAGAATAGGTAGAGCCAGATTGGGAGAAACAATAAAAAACCTGAATTTTTGTTCTTTAATGTGACAGAAATCCACTGAGAAGTTTTAGGCTGGAAGATCATTTTGAGGAGACTGTGACAATCCAGGTAAAAGATGATGGGGCCTGGGTGAGACTGTGGTGACAGAACTGAAAAGAAGTGGATGTATATGTGATATTTTTTTGAAAGTAGAGTTGGTCTGACCCTCATAGCCTCTCCATGTCTCTCATCATTCAACCATTATATGATGGCACATATACCCACTGCCTGATGCTCCTCTAAGTAAAAGCCCAAGACTTGAAAGAAACCGAGGATTTTAAATACAACAAATGTTTAACCTCTTATAGAATTCTCTTTACATCCAAACAACCCTATCCTTAGATGTCATGTATTTTTTTCCTCATTATAATACTGTAATCAATATCATTGAGAACAAAGGGTATAATCGAGGAAGGCATTAGAGTCGAGACTGGAAACACAGACCATGGACTAAGAGAGACAAGTTAGGCCCATCAGTTATAAGCTATGATAACTTTAGATAAATCATTTAACTCTGGCTGCCTACTTTCTTTCACAGGTCTTTAAGGAGATTAAATGAGGTAACGCATGTGTAAAGCACTTGGGACAGTCAATGCCTAACTCCTCCTGCAAGGGCAAACATTCTAGCTATTTTTATTGTTGAAATCAGAAAGGGCAGACTGTGGAGAAAAAGGAATAGGCTTTGTAGTCGGATCTGTGTTTAAATTTGGATTATGGCACTTCTACGTAACACTGGGCAAATTATTTTGTTCTGCGCCTCAGCTTCTTTATGCATAAAATAGGGTTAATATGAGGATTAAATGACATGTTAGCGATGTAGCACAATACTTGTCACTCAATCAGTTCCTGTCACTCAATTCTCCCCAGAGGTTATAAAGTTAATCTCCCCTTCAAAATTCTTGAGATGAGAAAAACAAGTCTTAGAAACACTAATGTAGTAATTAACATTTTTTAGAAATTTGTATATTATTTAATTAAAGTTGTGATCAGTGAAAGAATCTAGAGGAAAATAACAGGTTTTAATCTACATTATATAAATTAATATTAAATAAGTACGTGTTGTCCTCAAAATTGTCATCTGTACAGGGGTTATGCAACAGAAAAGCAGGGGTGGGTAGGTAGGAGGGCTAAGAGAACAAGATACAAAATCATTCTGTTGCCTGGTAATATGGTTATAGAACCATTACATTTTTGCAGACTCAACTTTATAGCAATTACAAGTAAGGCTGTAATTGGAATCAGAATATCTATATTAACTCCTAAATATATTCAGGAGAATCCAATTATACATCCTTTTTACTCAATGGCATCCAATATTAGACACTAAAAAGACCACATCAATTGCTCGCATTTCTTGACCTAGAATGAGGTCAATTACACACACAGCCATGCTTGCAACAGTTAGAGAATCTAATAAAAGAATATTAACTGGAAAACTAGCCAAAGACTTAAAATGCACAAATGCAGAACTTAGGTGTGTTTAAAGGTAGGTGCTAGTTAGTAGGAAATTATGAACTTTTACCCAAAGGTTAAATATATTTTTATTTTGTTCTCTGGGAAAAAATAATAATTAAAATTCATCATCTAATATATATATATTTTTTTACTCAAGTTTCTGGAACAAAACAATCTCCAGCTAAATAATTTCGACATTTGTATTTTATTTATTTTGTTTTTAGTGACATGTATATATTTCATTTAATTAGAAATCTAGAAGCAGTTACCAGAACTACATAAGAGATTTGAAATCTCATGTTTTGCACTGTTGGAGCAGCTCAGTCATTTCAAATATTTGATTGTGAACCTGCCAGCAGCTGTTCAGATTGAGAGGGTACAAAAGGAAGGAACCACCACTCTGCAAACAATGAACAAGTTGCTTTAAAGGTTAAGACTTATATACTACTACATTTTCAAATACGCTATTGAGGAAATCAAATAATTCTAAAAGCATGGAAATTAAACAGAAACTATTCAGCAACATGTCTCAAATTTCTAGACCATGACTGCAATAGCCAGAGGGGAAATGATATTTTCATTTGCATCCATATACTGTCCTGTACAGAATATTGATTCAGGCTCTATGCAGGGGACATCTGCTGCTCATTCCAGATAAGAGTCTGCTTCACCTCAAAACAGTCCTTTGGTTTTCTTTGGAGAACTCCCCTTCCCCAACTGTAGGCAGTCTTGAGGGACTGATCCATCAAGATATCATTCCCCTTTCTGACTTAAAGATGGGTGCATGGTCCATGCTAAGCTAATCAGAGTCAATCTGCAGTCTGGACATATGAAAGGGCTGAGCACAGATAAGATGGATTCTGTGGCATCCTAAAGTAAACTGTCCATTATTCAAACTGCCTGGATCATCCTTGACCTTCCTGGAAAGCTTTTCATTTGATTCTGGGAACTACTCCATTTACTTAAAGACTATGTTCGGCTTCTATATTATGGAATTTTAGTGGAGGTAGTTCAGTCCTCTGCTGGAAGCCAAGTCCTGTCCCAATGCCCATCTAATGTAGCCAGGCACAGACAATGTACGTGGACTTGGCTAGTCTTCTTCAA